GTGTAATGTGACCACAACCACATTACGACATTTTTATCAATAAGACTAACTTGTTATCACTAACGATATAAACTTTCCATAGTTCTACAAATGACGCAGCTTGTGTATCATTCTAATTGTTTTATTAATTGATTTAGATATTACTATTTGTATATAAACCGTATAAACGACAATAATAATTGAGTTGTAACATAGTTGTCTAAAGTGAATAAACCACTAAACTAGTCGCAAACACTTGTTTCCTTCGTCTGCGACCCTTTACAAGTAGTATATAATTCAAAATGGCTTCTACCTTGTCGGGATCGGTTCTCAATCCGTTCGCATCAACCACATAACCTAGGTACCTGTAATTTCACCAGCACCTTTAATTTACCCTTCAAAATCGAAATGCCCTAATGCTCACATTACTGATTAAAAGGATGGTAATAAAGAGGGTATTTTGGGTTTTTGGTGCTTTTTACTGCAGTTAAGGAACGACCACCAACATGGCCAGATTCCATAGATAACGACACAGGAAAAAAACTTAAGTACACTACGACGCCAGACGAAGATACCATTCTTTACAATACAAACCAGGCCTATCAAAGGAAATAACAGACATTTGCCAGACGCAACAGATAAACGCACATCGCTATGCGAAAGACACAATTATCTTAAAAGCTTTGGCGACAGGAAGTGACACGAACCAGAGACGCTACGCACCCTTCGCGCTTGCCGATATAAAAAGGCAACACGCCGCGACAAACGACAGTTCACATTTAACCACAGTTCGCATCAAATCTCACAAGTCTACGTATCCGTACCAAACTCCGAACACAAGCTCCAAATCGCTTGCGTTACGGCTTTGTTGTAAAATCACCTATACGTATAATTGTAAAAGCAGATCATAATTGTGAAGTAACCAATAAACGTAATATTCCTCGAACTCATTGCACTTCGTACTTTACTCAAATAAAGAAGACCCCGCTACTCCTCGAAGATAACCACTTGGCAACCACGCCCAAGAAATATAACTCTGCTGTTAACCGACTTTTAAAAAAGGAGGAGGTTCCCAATTCGACGGTATGTTTTTTTTGTATGTATTGTTGGAAAGAGGGTACCTCCATAGTGAAAAACTCATCCACCTCTAAGGGTGGCTGTTCACGCATGAAGATTCATTTTTATAAACAGGGCCTAAATTTTATTATAAGGAGCAATTATTTTAATGGTTGATTTTGCTATTCTCCAATTCAAGGCGTTGTTCTCTTAATATACTTTGAGTAGCGAGAACCGATTTTTATTATTTCCTGTTTCAAGTCCCGTATAGTGGCGAACTAGGGGATGAATCCGGGGTTGCGCACTTTCCGATAACCGATTTCAATAAAACTTGATAATTATATTTCATTTCATTTTCATTTCATTTCATTTATTCATGTTACATTGTGCAAACACATTTATCATTACAGATATAAATCTAATTCGATAATGTCAAATCACTTAATTTTTAAAATAAATTCGTTAATAAATTACTAAATAGCTTTCATTCATAAATATTATAATAAAAATAAGAATTTAAACATTTCAATTTCTTATAACTATTTCTTACATATAGTGTCAAGGGCTACGTCTGCGAATCTCGACATCGAACAACAAAAAATATCAATTTTTTTAGAAATGTCATTTAAAAGACGCAAAGCGGTAGTGAGCGGCGCATGCTCCAGCATTTTGGTCCTGCATATATGTAATTCCACGTACTTTTGAGGTCGGTTTTTTTAGTACTCTGTATGATATTCTTTATGATTATTCTTGATGAGATTACCGTAAAACCATTTCGATTATCGAATAAAGAATCGCAATTACTATATCGTTCTTATTGAATTAAACTTATAAAAAGTGTCAAGGGATCAAACAAGTCTTTGCCAATACTGAAAGTCAGGTTTTTAAAGTCAATGGGTTTTTAATCTTTTTTAACACTAATGGTTTTTTGATCAATTTCACAATTTAAATTGTAAATATATAAATGAATAAATAATTTAGTAAATTTATATTTATGTTATTATTTAATTGGGTAATCAAAAATTTTTTTTAATACGTAGATATTACACTTTAAATATACACTTTACACTTTAAATGTGTGTTATGTACAACTTAATGAAATAATAGTTCAAAAAATGTATTTATTTCAGTGCCTCTACCATGAGTTTACTGTAACAGTTCTCGTTAGCGACAGCGTAAAATATTTGTATACAAGGTCTGTGGTACACAACATGTTACTTTTTTCTCGTAACCGCTAGGGGCGCTGTATAATATGCCATATAAAATCGCGAAGTAATTTACGCGGTCGTTAGCAACAACAGTCACAATAAACACATAGCAGAGGCACAGATAAATGTCAATACATCTAAAACAGTTGTCAGATTTGCTTTTTGCTTGCTGTTGCTGTATTTTTTTTTTATGATACCAAGTGACGGGACGAACAAGTCGTGCGCCTGATGGTAAATGACACGCCTGTCCATAATAGTTGCAGTGCCTCTCAGAACTTTAAATCGCAAAGATCTGAGAGGCACTCCCACTGCGCCCGTCACCCTGAGACATAAGTTGACAAGTCCCATGTACCTGTAATTTCACCAGCACCTTTATCATTCAAAACCGGAACGCAGTAATTAATGTAAGCATTACTGCTTGGTGGCAGAAATAGATAAGGTGTCAGTACTTCCCTGGACGAACTCTTTCACAAGGAGCTCTACTGCTATTAAATTTATGTATTTATGTGTGTTACGTATTTCTCTTCCTTATTCATTCATACATCATTCTTGCCTTTTGCGTATACCTGCGTGTATGTATCCGAATTATTCTAACTGCGAATTTAGCATAATGCGAATTATGTTATTCTGCTTGCGTTAAGCAAATATATTTCAGTTTCTTGTAGCATACCTGTTAAATTATTACACAATAGGCGTATTAATTGTCTTTGTCCCTGGGGTCGAATCTGGGTTGGATCATTTTACGCAACCAACTTTTCTTACCGTTTATTTTCTGGGTGTACTGAGTAAGGCGCCCTCAGAATTAATTTTATCATTTTGAGTTCGAATTCCCTAGTTTAAGATTAGGATATATAGTTGTTAATACTAAGTGCTGGAAGATTTATACATTACTTGTTACATTATATAGACAAAATATTTTGTTTTAGCGCTGGAGTTAAAATTGAAGAAAAAAGCACTAACTCAATTATAGAAAACAACGACCAATCCGCGAGAATCAAAATGGATCCAGGTGAGTCAAAAATTTGTAATAATAGTCCAGCATTATAGACATGCTAAAATATGTATATGAATTATAGACGTGTATGTAAAGTTGGCTTCTAAAGTTACGAGATGTTATCAAATAACAAAACAGATGTTTAGAAACAATAGTACATCCCACTCCTTGCCGGTGCTATTCGTGTATATACTCGTATACACGTGTATATGTATAACGGTCAAGTTGATTAATCGGGCACTATTAACATCGACAATACACATTGGTTGTATTACTTAGGCCGGTCAGTATTAATACTGCCCGTGGTTCATTTGATAATCGAGGCTGAAGATAGCCGATGAGTGGATGGAAGATGAAGTAGAACAGGGTAGCATGATTAATTTCCTACATTTTGTGCCACTAAGAGCTTAAAATCACAAAGATCTCCCACTGCGCCCGTCACCCTGAGACATAAGTTGGCAAGTCCCATGTGCATTAGCATTACCGCTTGGCGGCAGAAATAGGTAAGGTGACAGTACAATACTTCCCTTGACGAACTCTTTCACAAGGAGGTTTACTGCTATTTAAACATTCTTAATTAATTGGCAAAGTATTATAGAAATTGTCTATTACTATATTTAGATTTTTAAATTACATTAAGTGTTACGTCACTTCGTGCGCAATAAGTACCTACAGCTGAGTTTGTCACCAACAGTGTCAACGCACAGTGTTTTATAAATGGATTATTGAAGCAAAAAAATAAAAACGAAAAATCAATCAAATCAAACTTTGTAACGAATGAGCCTATTATTTAAAATGTGTGTTACTTATGGTTTTATTGAACAACTAAGTCGGTTGGTTAATAATTTTCAAATAGTTTAAATTATGATTTTTTTAATGTTTATCCGTATGAAAATTACGTCGTTTTTAAATTATTTTTTCTCTGTAACAATAAATATTTGTCAAACCGGAGTTGTACTCTTCCATTTGTGTTAATTCAAACTACAGAAATCTGGAAAAAAAGGCATGTCACAAAATCGGGGTTTATAAAACACTGAGCAGTGCCCAGACAAGTCTTTTATTTACATTACAATCCTTGTACATTGTACAATCCCAGCATTCGGTTCCGCACAACTGCACTCGGCGGGCAACGTTATTTTCACCTCTCTGAGCGCGAGCTTAGGTTCCTTTTCCTCGTAGTGAGCGCCTGGTTTCATTAGTCAGATTAAGTAGGCTATTATAGCGTAGGAACGTTCAATTTTGTATTAGGTAATGTACTTATCTGTTACGTAGTAAGTATTAAGTAATCTGTGGTAGCTTAGATAGGTTAAGTAAAAAATCCTAGAAAGACTGATATTAGTTAAACAAAACTATTTCTGCTATCAGACGGACGGGGCATGCACGAAGCACGAAGTTGAGGTAATATACAACTGCAGTGGACACTGACTGCAAGCAATTATCGAATTACATATCTTGAGCTAGGAGCTCCGCGAATTTGATGATGTTGAAATGAAGGCACAGATGTTACTTGTAGCTTGTCACTTTATTCTGAACATTTACGATTCCAAATATTGACTTTACTTTTTATTAAGGAGATAAACAATTATCACTATCGAAATCCTCCTTTTTCATTTATCAACAAACTCACGTCTGTAATCTCTGACTACCCTCTGCGGTAGAATTTGCGGTCTAAGTGTAAACAAAGGTATCATTACAAAAAAAATTAACTTCACCAATCATGTTTTTATTTTGCCCTTGCGTTGATGAAACCCTCGAGTAACCATAGCATTTTCAATTCAAATTGAGTATGACGCAAAAAAAAAATTTAGGTCTGTACACTCTTTCTTACATAGGGCGCACTATATATTTCCGGAACTGGCCACTTACATAAACAATATTTAAAAAGTAATTACAACATTTGAAAATTTAACTCTTTGGCTGTAGAATATAGTTTGTTTCGTCTGACTGTCACTTGTTTTCACATTGAGGAGTCATTTTAGAAATTGGTTGTCTACATCCATTTAACTCTTCAAAATTTTCGTAATATGATTTTCTACGACTTTACGTATAATTTAACAGCTCAGCGGAGATTCGCTCGGCTTCAAATTATTTGATTGAAGATTTATGTTTTCTAATATCAAAAAGGGTAAATTTACAGGGTTATGGATCCAACAGAATGTCTCACTGGCGTGAAAGGACACAGTTCAGTGCCAAGCCTTAAAGTAGCAGAAATAGGACGAATTCTTCTCAAATACTTGAGGACCATTCAGTGCCTTATAAATACTACACGGGCAGAATACACTAATAATTCCAAATATATGAGATGACTTTATACTATTGAATTTAACAAAACGATAGCGCGTTTCAGAGTACAACTAATGCCATCTAGCAGTAGCGTGATGGAACTAATCGCATGTTAAAGTTGTGCTTGTTACAAGTGTAGTTTGATTTCATACTGCAACCAAATTTCTTAAATTATGACTATAAATAACACCCTAACAAACTAGAGATACTACGTATTGCTTCTTGATTAGAAATGAAATAAAATCTTGAAGTGAACGTATTAGTCTCAGAGTTAGAATAAAGTTAAGAGTAAAATTGTATTACAAAAATATAAGCAGTCTTTTTGTAATGACAATATTTTATTACTTTTAATAAATATTTTTTCAGAATTTATTTTTTTTTTTTAAATATTTTGAGAAATTGCTCTTTCTTATTAGTAGAAATCCTTTTTTTCTGTGTACAGCCGACGTTTTGCAGTTGTTATTTCGACAGTACCTAGTTGAAATATGCACACATGCAGTCCATCTGTTAGCAGCCTTAGAGCTTTTTGTTAAGAAATTCTAAACAATACTATGGTAATGGCACAGTTGTTCCGAATATATTTATTGTTAGGCACGTATTGTTTATATTCCATTGTCGTCGGTTTAACGGAAGACCTGACCATTATACTTAATAATAATAAATAATAATGTGCCTACAACCACACCAATTACCTGGTCTCGAATTAGGGAATTCCCATAGTATGAGTACCTGAGCAATGGAATTCACTCTGGGACTTTTCCCGGAACACTCAGATCAGAAATAGTAGAGAAGTTTGGTTTAAAAATTGTCTAAATCAAAAAAACTGATTTTTATAACTATATAATTTTACGTCAGGATCACAACAATGAACACTGTACTTTCGGGCTTCTTAAAACTAGCTAAATCCACGCAAAGTCTATGAAAAACAGTGCAGAACTACGCTTTTGCTTTCAAAATTGGTGAAATCGAAAGCACTTGCACTTCAAAATCAGTCAAATCTGGGACAGCCATTCAGCTCCAAGTCTTTTGTTTGACCGTGCCGGCCATATTGTTTTCTCTTAATTTCGCAGTTTAGTCGGATAAACAACTTTATGGCGAGACTCGCTAAAAACCGAATAAAATAATGGATGCAAATAGGTGTGTATAGCAGAAACAGCGCCTGAAATGTCAAAGAAACGCAACAAAAATTGACATGGACAATCACAAAAACAAAAATTTGCACGCTAAGTAAACTTTTCAAGTCGCTTATGTTTACAGCTTGCAACTTTCATAAAGCAGGGGTGCTCGACCTCAGGTTCGGGTGACATGCATTCCTAGCTCCTACCAATTTTTTTGCTATTTTTATTCTTCTTTTAGTGTGGTCATAGAAGAAGTTTTTGCTAGGCCAGTAGAAGTACAAAATAAAATTCAAGAGAAAATGTGCGAGTTGCAGGAGGAAGCACCTCATTTGATGATATAAACCTAATTTTAATGGTACACATAAGCAGTTTTAATATATATTTTTTTTTAATTTAGGTATTAATTTTAACAAATTTAATTTACTTTTTAAATACATATTTTAGTTTTTAATTCCACCATTTAGACAAGCAAACTGTTACCCGTTCACGTGGCAGCCATTGGCTACCCTTGACCTTTCAAGTGCTTCCTTAAAAGAAATTATCAAATCCATCAAGCAAGCAACATTCAAAATCGGTCAAATACTAAGTCAGTAACTTTCAATATCAGTCAAGTCCTAACCTTAGTGGCAAAATCGGACAAATCCATTAGATAATTCCAAATTTTAGATCTTTTTTGTAAGGGACTAGAGCTGATTTTTACTTATGAGTAATCTTATACCTCGTCTGAATTATACTAGCCAAAACGTAGGTACTTTGAACGGGGCTGCCATATTCAAAAATCAATTTTTGCGTGGTACTGAAAAAAGTAAAAAGTTATTTGGCTAATTTTGGAACCAAGCCATTAAATTTAGGAAAGTTATTTAAAGTACATTATATTCAGGCATGCGTCGTTTATAATTGTAATTCCCGAAGGTTTGTACACTCAAGTCACGACGCCAACTGCGTGGCCACAAGGAATTAGGTTTACGAACTGGTTTTTTCGCGTTAACTCCCTCGCGGAGACAGCGGCCAAGAAAGAGCGTACCCTCCAGTGTGAGCTCACTGGGACTGGCATCCCCTTCATTGCTGTATGCACGACCGAAGACGGCGAGCACTGAAGACGGAACCTGTTTCTTAAGATTATGTCTTCAAAATATTCAATCTCTTAAAAACAAAACGATTATTATATTTTAGCTGCGTATTATTGTAGATCAGTTGTAACACACGGCGGGTCGTGTATTTTTGTGAAGAAAAATGTAAATTTTAAGAATTTAGAATGCTATACTCGGCTTAGAATTTGTGGTGGTAGACGATACAAATATAGATTTCAGTAGAACGAACATGAATTATATATTATCAACAAATAATCTATATAATATAGCACACTTTCCCACGAGAGTAAGTGATTGTCCGAGTACTTGTATTGATCACATCTATGTCAGCTGTAAGTCGGCGTATGACGCACGCGCGTCTCCCGTGCACGCACGTCTAAGTGACCACTACGCAGTACGCACTGTGTGTGAGCAAATGCCCGATCCCGCGCCAACCCGCTTCGCCAGATCCTACAGTCAACCTAACAGATGCAATTTTGTTGCGGCTGTGGAAAGCATTGGTTGGATCGAGGTGGAACGGATG